AGTTTTAGCAAGCCGACACTAACCGGGGCCTCTCGGCGCCACTACCCGTTTGAGGTGAGAACACAGGAGGATACAGGCTCCCCACGGAGGCTATAGAATCTAGCGAACGTGTTGGGGCTTGCCCAGCCCTACAAATATCTGTCAGCAAGGCGCCACGAGCCAGCGCCCAGGAGGATGCAACACTTCTAGTTGAGTGAGCTCGCAGCCTGAATGGGCAGGCCACACCCTGTGTCTGATAAGCCAGGGTGATGGCATCCACAATCCAGTGGGCCATCCTCTGCTTAGAGATGGCATTCCCCTTCTGCCGGCCTCCGTAACAGACAAAGAGCTGGTCTGAGGTCCTGAAGCTTTGTGTCCGGTCTATGTAGCACCTTAATGCTCGGACGGGACAGAGCAAAGCCAGGGCTGGGTCTGCCTCCTCCGGGGGCAGCGCTTGCAGGTTCACCACTTGGTCTTTGAAGGGTGTAGTGGGAACCTTGGGCACGTAGCCGGGCCGGGGCCTCAGGATTACCTGGGAGTCAGCCAGCCCAAACTCTAGGCACGAATCGTCGACCGAAAATGAGTGCAGGTCCCCTACCCTCTTGATGGAGGCCAGTCCAAGCAGGAGCAGAGTTTTCAATGAAAGAAACTTTAGCTCAACTGAATGCAAAGGCTCGAATGGGCCCTGCTCTAGTGATTTTAGCACTAGAGACAGGTCCCAAGAGGTTATAGAGGGAAGGAACCTGATGACGAGGTCATGCTTACCTACGGACTTCCCATTCACCGGGTCATGGTACGCAGTAATAGCAGCAACCTGGACTTTGAGGGTGGAGGGAGACAGCCTTCGCTCCAGCCCTTGCTGCAGAAAGGAAAGCACGACCACAATCGGGCATCTCCGGGGGTCTTCTCAGCGAGAAGAACACCACTTGACGAACAGGTTCCACTTCAAGGCATAAGCGTGTCTCGTAGACGGTGCTCTTGCCGAAGTGGGGTAGGTCACCTAGAACCTCCGCGTCCCGTCCAGGGACCAGAAATGGAGTTTCCAAAGGTCTGGACGCGGGTGCCAAATGGTGCACCGTCTCTGAGTCAGTAGATCCTTCCTCAGACGAATCGGCCAGTCGGTTAGTCCGTCCACAACTCTCCGTGCCCTCCTGAGACCCAGAGATAAACGAAACTGCTCTTTTGTCGAGAATTTGGGTACCGTCGGCCGTGAGGCCAACGGCGGGAAAAAAATTAAACAAAAGATTCTCCACCCGGCCCTCCTCCGGGGGAGGAAGTGGTTCGTTCACCATCTCCCGAAGAGCAGATCCCTCCTTCTCTGGGTCGCCTGTCTCAGGGCCGCTTGCTTCGCTGCTTGCCGCCAGGTTTGACGGGGGCCGTGGGTGGGCCCCCGTGTCCGCCCATGCCCAGCTCCACGACGCCGCTTTGCTGACGGCTGCTGCGGATGTGGCGCGGGGGCAGATGCGGGGGCCCGCCCACGGCAACGAGCAGGCTGGGGCGCTGCAGCTGGCGGACGAGTGGAGGATGTGTCGGATCGCCTCAGTCTGCTTTTGGGCAGCCGAGAACTGCTGGGCAAAGCTCTCAACTGCGTCGCCGAAGAGACACAGGGGAATTGAGGAACCAAACCTTGTCGGTGTCCCTCATGTCCGCCAGACACAGCCAGAGATGGCGCTCCTGGACCACAAGCGTGGACATCGCATGACCCAGAAAACTTCGTCGATTGGAGCCCGAGGTCAGTGGCAGTTCGGGGCTCTTTCAGAACTTCCGGATCGTGACCACCCTCATGCAGGTCCTTCAGTGCCTTAGCCTGGTGCACCTGCAGTAACACCATGGCTTGTAAGGCGGCACCTTGTTTAGTCATAGAAAACTTACATTTGCACAGTATTTGTGCTGTTAAATGTCATTTTGGCCTGTTTTCGGGTTCATTCAGTCTTGAAATATTATAATGCATGAATAGATTGAGATTAAATCTTGGTAATTAATCACTGTAGGCACACATATGTAAGTGCTTGCATTTTTGCATTTTTGTTAAGCATGCATGTCTGAGCAAAGACGGTTAGCATGAGCATCTGTCGCTCCAGCCCCAATTAGACTCTAAAGATTGAAACAACTGCATTTTCCACAGATCCCACCTAAGTCCTCTATAACAGTTCTGCGAGTATAAAAACTATACTGAAAAATCTTAAAATATATATATGGAAAAAAACAGGACTGCAAAGTTGAGTGTGAGAGACTTGATGACATAATTTGCCTTTTCTATAGTAACAGCGACTACTCTGATTGGTGGATCTCTCTTTAGGATTTTGACTAGTGTAGTACTTCAGTTAGAATTTGGAAATTGGAGAATTGAAATCACACTGACTTATTGGGTCCTCAGACAGTTTTGAGTTATGAAAGGGGTCCTTTCAGCAAATATGTTTTAGAAACCCTGATTTGGGTTGTCTAGTGCCTGAGGATTGTCTGTATCTAGTTATTTCTAGCAAAATGTGTGAATGTGTTTGCATAAGAGAGAAACCATGGTTACGGTGACAATATGTCCTGATGTGACGCTGCGTCGGTCTCTCTGTGGTGTGAGTCTCTGTGTGCATTTTTAGTAATCATATGAGAGTACAGTTCTTTTTGGCACATAGCTGTACAGTTGACATTCATCTGTGTATTTGCAGGATTGTGACTGTTTTTTGCAAAAGAGCATTTAAATAGATCCATCATCAGATATTACTGTCATCAGTCCACTGTATACAAAAGTAAATCAGTCACTGTCAAGAGTTTCTTCTGTCAGTTACGATGATGAATAATGAGTATTTAAATGTAATGTTCAGCTCAAAGAAAAACACCACAATATTTTGGTGTACAGAATGGAGAGAGAAAGCTTTTGTTTGTGCGGTTAATCATGTGTCCTCCTTCTGTCCTACACATGAATGGAAAAGAGAAATGATTGTCTCACACTTCAGTTACCCACCCGATCTGGCCTACTTTCACTGCACACACATGGGGCTTGCCGCCTCCATTTCCACAAACATATTCAACTTTATACTTGAGGAACATTAAAAGGAACATTTTGATTTCTTCTGGAATAATGAAACAGTCTGGAGTCTAATTTGAAAATGTTCTGCTTTATTCTTGTCGAAAGTTTGGACACACCTACTCATTTTTATTCTTTTTATATTACTGTTTTTTACATTTAATAATAATAATAATAAAGTAATCAAAACTAAAATATATTATTTGTTCATTAATTTACATATTATAATTTGTGTTATTTACACATGGGACTATGTATATTTTCCAAAAAACTATAATAATAATTAATAAATCAAACCCATCTTATATTTTAGCTACTTCTAAGTTGTTGGGTGCATCCAGAGATGCTTTTTAACTATTGAAGGTTCCCATGTATGCTGGACACTCATTGTCTGTTTATCCAGCCCAATTCATCCATTTCCAGTTTAACTGAAATGATCTTGTAAAGAAATGTACTGTATATGTAAACACCAAGCGCAAAATTAACATAAATTCAAAAATGTCATGTGTCCATATTTTTAAATGGTAGTGCATGTGTTTTATTTTGTGGTAATGGTAGTGCAATACATTGAAAAGCAGTTAAAAGCATTTTTTTGTCTTGCCATCCAAAATAAAAGGCTGACCCTTATTTTCCAGTTGACAGTGGCTGTTGTGTCATCGCTCCGGGACATGGCATCACAGTATGGTAAGGGGTGTAACATTTCCGTCACACACTTGAGGTATTCGGCCAATCACAACACACTGGATAGCTGGCCAATCAGAGCACACTTCGCTTTTCAGAACGATGAGCTTTGTAAAAATCGACGCGTTTCAGAAAGGAGAAACAATATACAATATGTGGAAAATAATGTTTTTTTTTTTACCTTAAACCTTATCTAAAACCTTAAAATTGTATTTTATTTATTTATTGCTGGTTCATGTGAGGTGCCCTGCAGAGTTTTAGACCATCTCAATGCCCTCTGTGTGGAATGCACTTTGCCATCTTCAAAGCCTCTTTGTTCACTGGCTGCTATGTTTTCCCTGACCTTATGGAGCAGAGCAGATAGTTACCAACACACAGTGTAGACAGAGAGAGGAGGACATGGGGAATAAGGGGGTGAGAAGGAGGAAAAACAATAGTGCTTTGTAGCTAGCCACCCATTTTGATTCTCCATCAGTCTGTGGTCTGTTTCTCACCCTGATACCATTCTGCAATGCCCACTATCCGCATATAAAGCACTGCATTTCATCACATGTGTGTAATTTTAAAACCAGTTTGATGTTTGCTCTATTTCAGATCCTAAATTGTAACTGAATTTGAATTAAGGTAGCCAAACAGGATTCAGAATTGAATTTAAGAAAAATTAAATTAAATTAAATGCGTGTAATTGCTGTAAGTGTAGTCTTTTTAATAATTTGTCATTATTAGTAGTAATTGTAGAATTATAATAATACAATATATTTTAAAATTACGTAACTTACGTATAAATCATAATCATTTTCCGTATTAGCCATAAAATATACAAAACACACACACATTTATATGCATATATTATTTATGTAGTATTTATTTATTTTGTGGATGTCCATGTTTGAGGAACACTTCATTTCTCAGAAAGCTTTTTTAAAAAATTTGAAGTTTAAATTTAAAATAGTTTAATGGCAGTGCTTAATTATAAAGTTACTATTAAACAATATAACTGTTTTTTAATATATATAAAATCATTAAAAATGAATAGTTAATAATAGTTTTGATAATATTGAACTACTTCAGATAAGATTTTCCAAATTTGTGATTTGGTCAGAGTTTATGTAATTATTCATGTTCTGTCACAAAACTTGTTTTGGCCGATTGAAATTCTTCTATTGTATGTCTTAAAATTGCAATTCAGTAAATTCCTCTTCTGTCAGTTCAGCATCCTGTGGGGCTTGTGGCCAATTCATTTTAAGCCCCCCCCCTCAGTGACGTGACATGTGGCCAAGTATGGTGACCCATACTCGGAATTAGTGCTTTGCATTTATCCCATCCAAAGTGCACACACACACAGCAGTGAACACACACACACCGTGAACACACACCCGGAGCAGTGGGCAGCCATTTATGCTGCAGCGCCCGGGGAGCAGTTGGGGGTTCAGTGCCTTGCTCAAGGGCACCTCAGTCGTGGTATTGAAGGTGGAGAGAGTACTGTACATTCACTCACCCCACCTACAATCCCTGCCGGTCCAAGACTCGAACCCGCAACCTTTGGGTTACGAGTCCGACTCTTTAACCATTAGGTCACAACTTCTCTAGTTAGACACTTCTCTTATATTCTGAATGTTGCTTATCCTTGGTCCTCATGTATTAAACAAAATATAACTCTTAACACAAAAGCTGTATTGCCTACAGAGAGAATAATAAACTGTAATGCTAGTGTTGTCAGATAAAATAGTTGTGTGCACAGGCTAATCTTCTAGAGCACTTTTTGATGTACAGATGTTTTGCAACTGTGTCGTTTAAGTCGTGTCTAGGGGAAGTATTTTGCATTCACATCTGAAACAGGAAGTTGCCCATACCCATCTTTAGTTTTGCTAGCTGTGATAAATCCCACCCTGCAGAAGTGTGTGAAAGCATTGATGCATTTCATTTGCAGCACCCACAGATTAATCTGTGTATGGTGCAATCATATGCACAAAACCAACAAAGAGTGATTCACACATTTTGATGTAACAGCACAAAAAGCCTTCCCGTTTGCACTAAGTCAATCATGGCTTTTGTCCCAGACTGCAGTGAACACCTAGAATGATGGTGCTGCCAACATTCAATGTCTTCCACAGTAGCCATGAGCACACCAAAAGAAGACAGACCAATTAGGATGCATGAATCATGAATAGACCAATTAGGATGCATGAATCATGAATAGGTACTAATATAGGGTTGGCTTTTCCTTGAAGTGTCTCTCAGTCTAATTAAGGAGAGCTCACAGTCACCAGTTTGTTTGAAGTACTTTTCCAACTATGTAAGACGAAGTTTCCTTTGGACTTATTCACTGAGTTGCATAACAAAAGCGCTCTCTTCCTGTATAGACCTGCAGCAGTATCATGTTGCCTCTTAGTTCTCAATAAAAGTATGCCAGAGTATGAGAACATTCCCAAAGAAACACAATTAAAGCTTCCTAAGAGAAGAGCACTGCTGTGAGGAGCATGCATCTAGTGACTGCATTGCAGTGTTGCCCCCTACTGACACTCCAGAGAGTATCTTACTGACAGGGCCATGACAAATGTTCTTTTACAAATGTTCCTATTCTTGCTTTTCTGGCTTGAATCTGATTTAGCTTGTGCTTTTTTTAACGATGCTGTTTTTAATCATCAGGGCAGGGGTCCTTTGTGCATATGCAGCCAATCAGAACCTGAGTTCCCAGCTGAAGAGCATGAGGAGGCTGGTGAAGAGTAACCTGAAAGACCTGCACACTTTCGCCAATCAGACCCCTGCAGTAAGCAATACAACCAGAACAAACATGTGCCCACACATACACTATTACACTGGGATGGGTGGGTGGCTGGATAGATAAATAGATAACAGACAGACAGAAAGACAGATGGCTGGACAGACAAGATGGATGGATGGACAGCTAGACAGATGATCGGTCGAATGGACAGACAGACAGACAGACAGACAGTTGCCAGAAACAATGGTCAGTTGAACAGTTTAGATATAATTATATGAAAATATTTAATTGCATAGTTCTGCAAATGAACCAAAGTATTCATCCAGTAGATGTCTTAGTATTGGCAAGTGAGGTTCTATTTTCTGAATATATTGCTGTGTTGTCTCCCCTTCAGCAAATTGATTACCTGATCTCTCAGTATGGCACAGTGAAGCACCATGTGCTGTATGACCTGGAGAGTAAGTATGCTATCGGTCATCTGGAGTGGAATGGAAAGTGTTTCTGATGTGAGGACTCATATTGTGGTGTTTCTTCAGATGTAGGTCTGCTCTTGGGTGGAAGGATACATGAGGAGTTGGGAAAAGACGTGCAGCCCGCCCTCGACGCGGCTCTCAGCATGACTGGAAGTATGTCACTCCCCTTTGTGTTTTTTGTTTGTTTCTTTCCTTTCTTTCACCTTTGCTGGGAAAACTATTTATCATATATATCATATATCACAAGAGAATAATATATTTCTTCTGGTGGTGTCTTATTTCACTGTTTTGTCTTTGATTTGTTAGTTAAAGTGGAGAAATCCATTAAAGGTAAACCATAAGAGACCCTAACTTGACCTTCCTGTTACCTTCTATCTGTAACAAAGTTGTGATTGACTCCTTATTCCTTCCCAACAAAACCTGGCCCAGTTATTGTCCCATGTGTATTCTTGTATCCTTCCTTGGTGGAACCTGCCCATCATGTGTCGTAAAACCAAGATATCTGAAAGGTTATGAAATACACTGAAAGCTCCAAAGACAATGTTATCTCACCTCAATGGATAATATTTAGACATTTTTTTAATTAAAGATGCATGTGTGGATTTTATGTCCTTCAGAATTATTTGTGCTTTGGTTATTGTGGGCAGTCTCTGTTTTTGAATGTTCATTTATGTGTGTTGGCTCATTTGTTTCCTCTCTTAGCAATGCGAGACACTAAGGATGCTCTAGAGAATGTGAGTTTGACGTTGGAGACTTTGCAGGAAGGAACAGTCAAACTGCAGGCTAACCTCAGCCTGGTGCGCGGAAGCCTTAGCAACGCCCTTAATGATCCTGTCTGCACAGACGCACGCTCATCTGAGATTTGTCACAACATACGTAGCACCCTTCCCAGACTAGAAATTGCAGCCAACTACTCATCGGTATTGAAATAATTTATAATCTTTTCTTCCAACATATTGTCATCAAAATGGTTCACAGTTGTTTTCTTAAAAAAAAAAAAACATGGCTGTTTTGGGGGGTTTTTTAGTTGCCTGATGTGACCAACCAGTTAGACAAAGTGAATGAAGTTCTAAAGACGGACCTCAGCCAGATTGTGGAAAAGGTATGTTTTCCCCAGATTTCTCATGACATGTTTGTGAAGATTCAGGACAGAACATACTGTATTTCACAGTGAAACAGGATATTCAACAAGAGAAAAAAATCATTTTATCCATTGGGAATTGATTTGATTATGATGAGTGGTCATACATACTAAAATGAATCCATGTAGTTGGAGGGGAGGGGGTTGAAAAGTGAAAAGGTCATATCCTTGACTGAAATAAGGTCAGTTTTGATTTCATGTTGGTTTTGAAGGAGCATATCAGCTTTGTTCAATCTTGCATCTTTTCATCTTGTATCACACAGGGCTTTACATCATTCAATGACACTCCCACCTTGGTAACAGATCAAACCCGAAATATTGTGGAAGGTGGGTTTAAAGATTAAATCTAGACTGGAATTCAGATCTTTGAATTTTATATACAGACCATCTAAAGATTCATACAGAGCGCCCTTTCAGTAATTAAAAAATATTTTATTTTATATATTTTCTATATTTTTCTACTTTTCACTTATTAAATTTAAACAGTCAGACTTTACAATAAGGTTCTTTACATTAACATTAGTTAATGTAATAGCTAACAGGAACTAACAATGAACAATACTTTTATTTTGTACTTCTATTTCATATTTATTATTCTAGTTGAATGTTAATTTCCACATAATACTAACACAGTTTTAACATTTAAAGTTAACCTAACTTAGATGAATGCTTTGATAATGCTGTAAAAATTGTACTAATGTTAAAATAATGTTATCCAGGTCAAATTCATTTAAACATTGCTTTACTAACATAGTGTCATATGTAATCATTTAATTGATTTAAAGAACATATGACTTGTATCGTAATATTTAGCATATGCACATTCCTTTTATCGAGTTTTTTTTCCTTGCCACAGTCGCCTTTGCTTTGCTTACCAGGGCACATACAATAAGACACCATTTTCAGCGAATAGCATAGATGATGAAATGTGCAAAAAAAACAATTTCACTGAATCTGCACTAAAGTATTTTCTAATACTGTTGTGTCTCCTGTAGGGGTGAAGGTTCTGCTGGATGACATTGGATCAAACATCACCACTTTCAGCAAGCTCTTCCTGGTTCACAGCTCTCTGACCAACTTCACCAAAATGATCTCTCACACACACTCACAGATTGAGGACATCTACCCTCAGGTTGATCAGATGGATTTCTACAGGTGCTTCAAAGGACTCAACTCGACTAGACAAAAACTAGTCACAATTTTCATTGTCCTAGTTTTCGAAGCAAAAAGTCTTCCATGTGCCCTTGATGTTGTTCATAATGTTTTTGTTTTCAGATGGATCTGTTGTATTACCCTGTGCTGTATGGTTGTGCTCATCCTCGCCTTCAATTTTCTGGGTTTGTTGTGTGGTATTCTGGGATTCGACAGGCATGCAACTCCAACCACACGTGGTTGTGTCTCTAACACAGGAGGCAACCTGCTCATGGCGTGAGTTTCAGTTTTTTTTACATCAGTCTTCAAACCCATCAAATGGATGTGTTATAAGACAGCTTTGTCTGCACTCATTCACACTCTGCACTCTTCCTCTGTCTCTCAGTGGTGTGGGCTTCAGCTTCCTGTTCTCCTGGGTGCTCATGGGAGTGATAACAGCTCTGTTTTTGGTGGGTGGGAATCTAGAAAAGCTTGTGTGTGAACCCTTTCAAACCCGACAGCTGTTTAAGGTAAGAGAAACGACACAATGTCAGAAGTTGAGAAAATGATGTATCGATCATCTCAAATCATGCTGGAGAACATGATCATAGGGCTTTACATGAAATTCTGAGTTTATGCAGCTCGAGTGCTGCTGTCATTAAAACAATTGACAAACCAAATAGTAAGACATTCTAAAATTCATGTTCTGTTTTTGATTCAGTATTTCCCCATATTAAAATAAAATAATAATAAATATTAAAATATTATTTGAACATTTTGGTATTAATAAATTGTGTATATATTATATTATATTTTTAATGTTCATGTGGATGATATAATTTGTAATTAATTTTCACTAGTTGTCTCAGGCATTCGGCACCCATTGTATACATGTTGAAAGACAAATAAATTCACCAAACAATACGAGATACAGTGTGATTATGTTGTGTGTAGGTGTTAGATACGCCCAACCTGGTCAACTCTGCTTGGAGAAACTTCATACCAGGATACCTGTACAATGACCCTGAGATGGACCTTACAGCATATTCTCTCTACAGGTAACCTTGTTATGTATATCTAATAAATAAAAAATGAACAATTATATTACTCTATAATAGTGCTGTTAAGTATTGGTGCTGTAAGTGCAAGGTGTTTTGACAAAAAAAAATTTTTGGACAAATATATAAATTGTAGTGTATTAAAAACTAAATGTTGAATCTAACTAACTTTTCTGAGCCATTTTACAATAGATTTGTCTTCGTCCTTCAATAGTCCAGCAGATGGCAGCAGAGAATTAAAAGTCTGAAATGAAAGTCTGATCATAATAAAATAGAGTAAGGTTTGATTTCCCCCCTTTTTCTCTCTTCTTTTGCAGTAATTGTAAGGACAACAGAGGGATTTACTCAGCTCTTCATCTGGATAAGATCTTCAACATCTCAGCCTTCTTTAACACTAGTGTTGTGAGTGGATCCAGGCTTAGTGTGCACACACAAATCACAACTAAATTTACAGTGACATTCAAAGTCACACTCTGAGATTAGTGATGCTACAGTTTACACCAGATAGCACCATTTTGAGAGCTAGGCATTTTAAACTCATTACTATCTAACAACAAATGTGATTGTTCAGACAAATTTAAGCTGACTATGGGCATTAAAAAAAAGTTGCATTAAAAGATCATATTTTACCAGGATAATGTCTCGGATTACGCATGTAACCATGATTCGAGACACTGTGTCCTCTAGTGGGCACTATGGGGAATGGCATCGGCATGCCCAGTGTCTGAAGCACGTGTGAAAGCACTCCAATCTATTGAACTACGCAGCTCGTGGCTTCATTAGCGTCATGTCCGGAAGTACAAGAGGTCGCCTGTAATGCATGTCATCAATTTATTTGTCTGAAGGAGATGTGAAACAGGCAAGCCCTAGGCATGGCAAGGGGACACATTGTCTCGTTCCCTCTCGGGGAGCCATGGTTACATGTGTAACCCAAGACGTTCCCCCTTCAAGGGAACTCGCACTGCATCCTCTAGTGGACACTATGAGGAATGACATACTAGGGCTGGGTAAAAAATATAGATTTTCTCGATTTTAGTTGATTCTCATTTTTATGAAACGATATAGATTCATAAATCCCAAGAATCGATTAGTCTAGGTTGTCAGATAATGAACAGAACATTGTAGCGTGCCTCCCATCCAATAAATTGCAATAAGCTTTGTGATTTGTTACTTTTGATCCTTCAAGGGAACTCGCACTGCATCCTCTAGTGGACACTATGAGGAATGACATACTAGGGCTGGGTAAAAAATATAGATTTTCTCGATTTTAGTTGATTCTCATTTTTATGAAACGATATAGATTCATAAATCCCAAGAATCGATTAGTCTAGGCTGTCAGATAATGAACAGAACATTGTAGCGTGCCTCCCATCCAATAAATTGCAATAAGCTTTGTGATTTGTTACTTTTGATAGGAAACAACGTCTCAGATTTAAAATTGTCCATTTTATTACAATATTCAAATATTAAATTCCTTTTTGGCGCTGTGTAATGTGGAGTGACAGATCGCTGTAGCGCCTCGGTTGGAAGTGGCAGCGCGAACTGATCATCTGCGCTTTAATAGCAGTTACAGCATGAAGTAAACATAAATTAACATCCAATGGTGTTAAAAGAAAGAGTACAACTTACTGAAATCCATCTCCTGTCTCATGTAATCACTCAATCAGTGTTTCAAACACGGAAAGATGACAATACAGGTGCATCTCAATAAATTAGAATGTCGTGGAAAAGTTCATTTATTTCAGTAATTCAACTCAAATTGTGAAACTCGTGTATTAAATAAATTCAATGCACACAGACTGAAGTAGTTTAAGTCTTTGGTTCTTTTAATTGTGATGATTTTGGCTCACATTTAACAAAAACCCACCAATTCTCAACAAATTAGAATATGGTGACATGCCAATCAGCTAATCAACTCAAAACACCTGCAAAGATTTCCTGAGCCTTCAAAATGGTCTCTCAGTTTGGTTCACTAGGCTACACAATCATGGGGAAGACTGCTGATCTGACAGTTGTCCAGAAGACAATCATTGACACCCTTCACAAGGAGGGTAAGCCACAGTCTTTGGTTCTTTTAATTGTCTCAACAAATTAGAATACTTCATAAGACCAATAAAAAAAAACATTTTTAGTGAATTGTTGGCCTTCTGTTAAATCCATCAAGTTTTTGTAATAACCACCATTTAAATGTTTATATTTCAAAAAACGAATTGGAGTAGAAATATAATTGTGTAATTTAAAGTTAGTATTATAACTTTAATATTACAAAAACCTTATTGAGTATAGTTTAAGTGTTTGTATACAAATCAGCAAATTTCAACCTTCCAAAAATATTATTGACTCTCAGGTATATTTTACAGCATAAGTTGAGCGATCTTTTCCTTGAGAAAATTGCCATGTTCTGTACCTGATATCTCATCTCATCTCCAACATCCCATTCAGCCAAGTTGGGAGCACAACTGTCCTCAAACAGCTATGCCCCAAAGGAGACAGCCCAAAGCATGTGGGTTTGCAGGGGACCGCCTTCTTGAAAATACCCTGATATCAGGGGAGGCAGCCTAACATATCAAAAAGGAACCTCAGGGGGACAGCCTACTTAAAGCCCTAGAGTGCGGGGAGGCAGCCCAACCCAGCTACCAGAAATATTAAGTAGGGAAAGAGCTCACAACTCATGGGGAAGATCTTATCAAGAGAAACCAGCCACAGCCAGTACCTCTATGACTAAAAACTTCCCGAATAGGGAGCCTAAAAAAAACTTGACCTATAGCCATAGGTGTACCGTCTAATTACAAGGGAAACAGCCCAAGCCAAAGAGCAGCTCGTCAAAGGGAAACTATCCTCAGACAGTTACCATCTCTAAAGGTGAGCCACCGTAAATAAGGCAGCCCAACCTGAGATGCTGCTACAAAGAGAGCAAGGAACCCTACTTAAAACCCAAAATCATTGGGAATGGACATCTTGCTAAAATCTTCATGAAGGGGATAGCCATCAAAGAAAACTGTTCTTAGACAAGTGCATCTTTGATAAACTTCCACTTAAGAGAGGTAACAAGAGGGGCTTGAACGGAAACTTTCTACTCCTCCCGTGCCCCTCTTACAACCCCCGTGCTTGATCCCGCCTCACTGCAAGGGTGACCGCAGAAACTGAACCACAGAGTGTAGGAGCTCAACTCTTTCATATTACCGTTTCTTATTTGTATAAAGAATTAGAAACAACATTGAATTCCTGAAAGGGAAAACATTTCCCGGCAGGTCACTTCCATGCTCCACCTACAATCCACATGAACGGTCCGGTTATCTGCCTCGACAAACAGTGTGACTCGATCCACAGATGGTAGGCTGTCAATTTCACCGCAACTGCATCGCGCACCATGCATTCAGCTTCCACAAGAGCCAAATGTGCTCTGCACAAAGGCTAGAATCCCTCGAGAACCAAGCAAGAACAGAATCCACTGCCGTGAATGCATCGCTATGAGCCCATTCAACTCCCATGAGAGGCGAACGCACTCATGCAAACACTGTCTAATATCTCGGGTGAAGGTGAAGCAAAGAACCAGGCTTCTACCTTCCCTCTCAGTAATACCACAAATGTATACGATAAGCAAATCCTGCTTCCTCAAGAGTCGAAAGCACTCCATCTATGCTTTTTCACAAAGAAATAAGAGCAACGTGTGCATTCAACTCACTCAAGAGCTGAATGCACGTGCTTCTCGACCACACAACATACCACATTCATTTAAGCATGAATCTGTAGGTATCAAAGCAAAGCCTCTCAATGAGCACCTTTAGTTTCCTCAAAAACTAAATGTGCACGCACCTCACTCATGCACAAACTGTATCAATCATGCATGTCCTCAGGTCCTCAAATGGAGGCACGCACTATGGATTGTGTCTTAAAGGAAATGCACACCATTCATTATTTTCAGTAACACTCTTGAAAAAAATTATTTATATTTTTTATTTTTTGTAAGTTATTGTATTTTACTTGTGGTCCCACTGGTCAGACTGAATGTTCTAGAATATTTCCTCATGACAATCCATCCAAATTTCCTAAACTCATGTCAGAATTATATGCAGAGCCTCTTTTCTTTCTGCAGTACTCCAAGGATGTGTCAAGGAAGTTTGAAGGGTTGAAGGTGGACCTGCGTGACATCATTCTTCTGGAGTCAGAAGGCAAACAGAATCTCATCAGTTTCACTGAAACTGGGATTAATGAGATTGACTTTGCTGCCTATTTGGAGGAGGTACATAACATACATAAACACATTTTAATTGAAACTTTTTAACCATATGCTTTGGTGCATGTACAGTCCCAGATAGGGGACTGTACATGAGAACCCACAGTTTCTCATCTGTTTCTGTTCATCTTTTCAGGTTAATAAAGGAGTGACTCGCATTCATCTAGTTGATTTCGCTAGTCAACTTGATGCTCAAGCTGATCAGTTGGTAAGATTTATGAGGTTTATAAGATTTATGTTTGGTCCAATTAAAATCATTCTAAAAGGAGTATAAAATTGTATTATTCCCTATATTACATGAAATTCAGTGGCATGGTTAATACCTGTATGAATGTTTCTTGGGCTAATTCTCATTTACACTATATCTCTCTCTTTTGCAGTCTAAAGGGACCTTGCAGACCTCATTAAAGGGACACGCTAATACTATAAGGCAGATCCACATCCAGCAAGTCATCCCACTGGAGCAGTCCATGGTAATCTATCCCTGTTTCATTGATGCTCATTTGAATGATTACCTTCTTATCCATGAATGTTTCTGTTGAACCGTTTCTATTCTACAAGTGGGACTGATTGTTAATGAAAAACTTCTCAAAGATGTTCATATTTCTGTTCGTACCTGATTTTAAACAATGTCTTTTTTTTTATTTTCTTTAACGTAGGCTGTCAATTTCACCGCAACTGCATCGCGCACCATGCATTCAGCTTCCACAAGAGCCAAATGTGCTCTGCACAAAGGCTAGAATCCCTCGAGAACCAAGCAAGAACAGAATCCACTGCCGTGAATGCATCGCTATGAGCCCATTCAACTCCCATGAGAGGCGAACGCACTCATGCAAACACTGTCTAATATCTCGGGTGAAGGTGAAGCAAAGAACCAGGCTTCTACCTTCCCTCTCAGTAATACCACAAATGTATACGATAAGCAAATCCTGCTTCCTCAAGAGTCGAAAGCACTCCATCTATGCTTTTTCACAAAGAAATAAGAGCAACGAGTGCATTCAACTCACTCAAGAGCTGAATGCACGTGCTTCTCGACCACACAACATACCACATTCATTTAATGTATCAAAGGTATCAAAGCAAAGCCTCTCAATGAGCACCTTTAGTTTCCTCAAAAACTAAATGTGCACGCACCTCACTCATGCACAAACTGTATCAATCATGCATGTCCTCAGGTCCTCAAATGGAGGCACGCACTATGGATTGTGTCTTAAAGGAAATGCACACCATTCACTATTTTCAGTAACACTCTTGAAAAAAATTATTTATATTTTTTATTTTTTGTAAGTTATTGTATTTTACTTGTGGTCCCACTGGTCAGACTGAATGTTCTAGAATATTTCCTCATGACAATCCATCCAAATTTCCTAAACTCATGTCAGAATTATATGCAGAGCCTCTTTTCTTTCTGCAGTACTCCAAGGATGTGTCAAGGAAGTTTGAAGGGTTGAAGGTGGACCTGCGTGACATCATTCTTCTGGAGTCAGAAGGCAAACAGAATCTCATCAGTTTCACTGAAACTGGGATTAATGAGATTGACTTTGCTGCCTATTTGGAGGAGGTACATAACATACATAAACACATTTTAATTGAAACTTTTGAACCATATGCTTTGGTGCATGTACAGTCCCAGATAGGGGACTGTACATGAGAACCCACAGTTTCTCATCTGTTTCTGTTCATCTTTTCAGGTTAATAAAGGAGTGACTCGCATTCATCTAGTTGATTTCGCTAGTCAACTTGATGCTCAAGCTGATCAGTTGGTAAGATTTATGAGGTTTATAAGATTTATGTTTGGTCCAATTAAAATCATTCTAAAAGGAGTATAAAATTGTATTATTCCCTATATTACATGAAATTCAGTGGCATGGTTAATACCTGTATGAATGTTTCTTGGGCTAATTCTCATTTACACTATATCTCTCTCTTTTGCAGTCTAAAGGGACCTTGCAGACCTCATTAAAGGGACACGCTAATACTATAAGGCAGATCCACATCCAGCAAGTCATCCCACTGGAGCAGTCCATGGTAATCTATCCCTGTTTCATTGATGCTCATTTGAATGATTACCTTCTTATCCATGAATGTTTCTGTTGAACCGTTTCTATTCTACAAGTGGGACTGATTGTTAATGAAAAACTTCTCAAAGATGTTCATATTTCTGTTCGTACCTGATTTTAAACAATGTCTTTTTTTTATTTTCTTTAACACATTCAACTTGATTTATGGCTTCCGAGAAATATGTGAAAGCAAGGGTAAGCCTGCCAGCCATAGCTGCATAACCTGCAAGTTGTTTGCTCCTTTTGGTATGGTTTCTCTGTTATAACATAATGGAAAAAACAAGCATCTTTTTAGAGCAGCCTTAATCATGTCTTTGTCCTAGTGGCATGTTTTTTAAACTTCCAGATGTGTAAATTTGAATATTTACAGATTCAAAAACTGGTCAAAGGTGAAATGTTGAATTTATGTCCATCTAGTGGCATCAAACAGAAAATGTTGATGTTTTCTGTTGTTTTCACACCATTGGTTAAAGCATTTGCTTGACTGGAATGCAAAAATTTAAAATTTATTTTCCAGTCCATACTAGTTGCTATACCACTGATAGATATGATCTTATGTGAAATATAAAGTTCATCAAATGATTCCCCCTGTGTGCCAAATATATCATATAGTACAACAGTTTTGTATCACATTCTTTATTTATTTGTGACATAATGTGCATGTGATGCATGTAATGCAACTATCAGTTTGCATGGCATTTTGTCACCCTGCTGATTCCCTTCGATTGTCAGTTTATGTTTCCAAAATGGTCATTTACAGTTTTTCTTTTTGTACCATTTTATAAGCATTTTAGATTATAGATCATTTGGACATGATTGTTGCTTTGTGTCTATTATATTTCCTATTAAAGAGCACACTTAATCAGAGCATCAGATTTCTGGAGAGGACGTCCTCAGACCTGCCTGTAAGTTGCTCATTTTAAAACTGCCACCAGTTTAAAAATATCACAACAGATGCATTTCAGAACATGCTTTCTGATGAGCAGTAAATGCATTGGTTTTTAGGTCAGAGTTAGTGACGTATTAGCAGCCGTTGATGCCACCCAGTTCCTAATTTCACACAATGCAACATTTGTGGTCAATCAGGTAGTGTGAAAGAAAAAAAAAACATGTCTGAAATGATTGGTGTATAGTTGTATTGTACTGATGGTTAATATATGCTCAAACAGGAAACAGAGAAATACAAGCAGACTATTATTGGCTATTTCAAGCAGTATATTGACTGGATCAGAACGTCTGTGAGTATTTTAACTGTATTATCTATCTGAAATAGCATTAATGTTAGATTGGTGACGATCGGGTAGTTCTTCTGCATTATTTTGTTTTGAAACCCTTTTGTTTTGCTGCCTCATTGTAGCTGGCCCTGGAGGTCGCTACCTGTAAACCACTCAGCAACATTGTGGACACGGCCGAGATCCTAGGCTGCAGTTTCCTGCTGGATTCAATGGTAAGATGGCCATCGGTACTAGAACCACTGGAAATGAAACTGTTCTCATCATTTACTCACCCTCATGTCCTTCCAACCCCGTTATTTTTTGACATCCATTAAATAAAAAAACTGTGTTTGGTTTTACATACAGTTAATATGGATGGTGATTTATATTGCCAAAGCTTAAAAGAGTACAAAAGGCACTAATAAAAACAGCATAAAAGAAGGCCTACTACTCATTCACTATGTATTCCAAGTCCTCTGAAGCATTTTGTGAAGAAATAAAATGATCAGTAATGTGGTCGGAACAATATCACAAAATTGTTATTTACGGGTAAACTATTTGTTTAAAGAGCTAGACAACCCTTTCAAATGTTTAGGGTCAGTAATATTTTTTTTTTAAGAAAAAAAGAAGACTTTAAGAAAATCAGCATATTAGAATGATTTCTACAGAATTATGTGGCACTGAAGTCTGGAGTAATGGCTGCTGAAAATTCAGCACCGAAGCAATTGCATTCTATGATTGGGGTCGGCTTAACTGAAATGATCCTTTGGAAGAGGATAGGACTTCTGTGTCATTTACTTCGTTTTTGTACTGTTTTACAAATGAGGACTTCTCCAAAAGAAGGTTTTTTTTTTCAGATTTCGCTACACACACTGGTTTCCATCTTTTATGGGTACATTCCATAATAATGATTATGAAATCATGTGATAGTAATGATTTTTATACTGTAAAAACTGTATTTTCTATCCCTTACCTTAAACCTAGCCCTCACCGAAAACTTTCTGCTGTTTTAGATTTTGATTTATAAGATGTTTTCCTTATGGGGACCCAAAAAAAATGTCCCCACAAGGTCCAAATTTACTTGTATTACTATACTTGTGGACATTTGGTCCCCATAATGTAGGGGATACCAGGGCACACACACGAAATGTTGTACATCATAACTAGTAAGGGCAGGAAGCATTCAGGCTGCTAACTAGCTGTAGTAATTAGTGGCTAGCTGCTCGTTCCACAGACACCCAAAGATTGACCCCAGTATAATTCTCTGACTGCAGCAGAAAGAACGTAAAGTTAAAGTGTTTAACCTCAGCCTGGTTGTTTTTGTTTGTTTATTTTTGTTTTGTTTTTCATTATTACACTAGGTTGGCAGTCCGTTCAATTCTGTTCAAGTATTTGTATAGCACTTTTCAAAGCAAAACAGCTTTACAGGCAATGCTTGTTACAATTAGGAGGTATTCAGTTATCAGCAAGAGACAAGTATATCAAAGTAATGTCCAGCTATAATATATATCTGGGAAAGAGTAATATACTGTACAGTACAACAATGTTACAATATAAGGGTAATATTTGACGGTTTTGTACGTTGATCCGAAGCCCTCATCTGAGGTCTTTGTAAGTTGCAGTCAATGAATCCTGATGGCTACTTATTTGCATAAACTTAAACCTATTTGTTAAACTTTTCTCTACATTTTGTCGCATGGCTGGACATGTTGCATCCAATCGATTGAATGTGAACGTTCGTTTATATAGATAACCTCTTATGCTAGAGATCCACTTTCTGTATTTTGGAAAAGCTTCTTGTCAGAAGAAATACATGTATGGAGAGTATGTTGATCAAAGTGGCATTTATGGTTAAGCGGAGTGCAGTTTTTGGGTGGCTTTAATCTTGTTTATTTATTGCAGAACACATTCTGGTTTGGATTAGGCTGTTCCACACTGTTTCTGCTCCCTAGCATTATCCTGTCCGTCAAACTTGCCAAGTTCTACCGCAGAATGGACACAGAGGATGTCTATGACGAGTAAGTATCCCAAATACACCAAGTTTGCGATTGTTATTTAGCACCCCAATGATTACAGTTCCATAAGCAAAGTTAATATTGTTTGTATATTGTTTTACTCTGCTAAAGAAAACCGATGACAGGACTGGAGCTAACTGTTGTACAATGAATAATATGCATAATATATGAAAGTGCAAATGCTTCGTTCTTTTCTTTCTTTTGCCCAGAGTAGTTAATAAATCTTTTTTCCTCTCTCTGTGCTCTTCTTTCTAGTTCCTCTGTGTCAGGGACTTGGCATTTCACCTTATGATAACCATTCTTGCTATTTCCATCTTTCTTCATTCTTCGTCTTTCTGTCCAGCACTTTGCACTTTATGAGAACTACATGTATATATTGTACAAACAGTGTTTTGTTTTAGCGTTTTTCGAGCATTCATGTGTTTACAGTCGAGAATCATTGCGATTGACAAGTCACCAAGTGTCTTGACCAGAGATGTCCATTTTGACATCCGTGTGATGTCTCTGTCCACCACTACAGTGCATCTCTGTAACATTTTTGCTTGTCTTGTATCTTTTTAGCATTGAGACAATTCCCATGAAAACGTAAGCTGGTTTTCCCCTCATACTTTTGCTGTCGACTTTACTGCTAAAACGATATCCCTTTCCTGTTTTGTACATAAAAACAAAATTCTGCTTAATGGTGCTGGTTTAAGCTCTAAGCCTGGGAATGCTTCTCAGATGAAGGGCGCTGCTTGTGTTGGTGTGTTATCTTTGAAGCTCCCTTGTTTAACATGAAGGGCTGTTAAAACAGAGACCTTATGAGCACACTTCAAAACTATTGCTGTACATTTTACAAGATATGTTTGCAGTTTATACCGTTTCATACTCTATCTTCCGTGTACATTTTTCAAGAATGCTTTCAAATGAAGCTTGTCCATAGTCACATGCCATTTCTCTCATGTCACATCATGTTTCGTTTACATTTTTGTCTATGTAATGTTTTATTTCGGTATGGAAATTGGTAATAATGGTTATTATAATGAACATTTAGAATGTATCCAAAATCCTGTAATGGCAAGGTAATCAGAACCATACACCCTGCGTGTTACACTAATAAACTGCATGCATTGGGTGGAACGATTGAGGTGATAATTAGGTATCAGAGGTCTGATGCATGCGCAGTCTGAAGTTGCCCTTTGCACAAATGAGCACCTGGGAGTCTGATATTTCCTTTTTCTTTTTGTCATTGTTAAAATAGTGCTTGCATGTTGACTAACTCAATAGCAGTAATGCAGAATTTGTGTTTTGCACTCTTGCATGATACTTTAATTTATGTTAACATTGCATACATTAGATTTCGCAGAATTTATTGACTGGCAGAATTCACGTTTGTGCATGTATTCAAATTTTTGTCTTCTCGCATGACTCTTGAAATTCTCACTGGACTGCTATGGCTGAGAATGGTCTTTCTCTCCAACTCATCACTAATGATGTGTTTCAACAGCAAAGCATGTAACAGAGGTCAGGATGGTGTGCTAGAATGACACAGAACTTGGATACATTCAAACACTATCATTCAGAAATTTGGGTCAATGAGATTTTTGAAAAAAGCGAGCAATTATTTGATTAAAAAGTATAGCAAAAACAATATTGTTACAATGTAAAATAGATTTGTTTTAATACGTTTTAAATGTAATTTATTCCTGTGATGGCAAAGCTGAATTTTCAGCATCATTACTCCAGTCTTCAGTGTCACATGATCCTTCAGAAATCATTCTAATATGCTGATTTGCTGCTCAAGAAACATTTGTATTATAATCAATGTTGAAAGTAGTTGTGCTGCTTAATAGTTTTATGGAAGCTCAGATACATTATTTTTCAAGATCCTTTAATGCACACAGAGTTCAAAAGAAGATGTATTTGAAATAGATTTATTTACTATTATTTAAAAAAATATTAATAAAAAAAAATATTACCCCTAACTTTTGAATGGTAGTTTATGTATTAGATATCACAATTTTAGACTGATTAGGTCTTAGCACTTATACTAAGACATAATAAAGTGATGATAAGGTTTTTTCACACATTTTCAAGAATGGAATTGCTTGATTAGAATTTAAAATTAAAACGGTTATACTAGTAAATGTGCTGTAGTAGGCGATAACAGAGTTTCTAATTGGCTGTTTTCAGATTGGTTATTTTTTTAACCTAGTGCTATCACGGATACATGTGATTTCTGTCAGGTGGTAGGACATTTTTATGTGAGTCGTTTCAAATAAAAATTACTTACAGCACCTTTATTAGTAGTAGTGCTATATGTGTCATTTTAAAAGCCCCGTCCTGATCTTCTATTGATGGGTTAAAGACGGATGGAGAGATAATGGGGGGCATCTCAGTGGTGTGTGTGGATTTTAAATACACTCCAGGCCTGACATTTTTTCCCTTTGTGCCTCAAGCATCCCTACCTATGACACTATGACTCGATTCCCACGGGCCTCTGCGCCCCCGCGCCATGCCGACTGGTGACTCTGAGGAGGACAGTCTGTTTTGTAACTACAGAAAGGTACTGAGAGCTGCAAATGAGAGCAAATGGACTTGATCTTTCTCTTTATAACAAGCACTCCTCCTGTCCAAATTAATTACATAGCTATTTTAGTATGCATTTGTTTGATTGCCTAACATTTTCACTTCTGTATCCTCTATTGACATGCACTTTAAAATATTTGTTTTGTTTTTTTCTGTCATTACACCAACAGCATGTTTAGTTTTTGCATCCCATCTTCAGAAGCATTCCACCAGGATAACTGCTGACAGCTCTGCAAAGCTTTGTGTGAATTGTGTTTTTTAGGGTCCATCACTAACCACTCGCTCGTATCATTGTGATCCACCCATGTTTGACTTCATACATTCCTGACAGCTCTGCAAACAGATAGATGTCAGCGCTCACTGTGTGTTTTATTTCTTTCCCTTGGTCTAAAATCTCATCTCCCCTCTCATGTCTCATGTGCACCAGTTCATTCGTATCAGTCTTTGCCATTTATCATTCATTTTGAAACTGTGCAGCGTGTGTAATTCTGCGATATTCGTTTCTTTTCTCATACAGTGATATTGGAAACTGGAATTAAACCTTTGTGGAATGTAAGTTGTTTAAATTGACCTTGTTTTACATTAAACCAGTGCTTTTCAACCTTTTTGACCCCAAGGCCCCCCACTGTCCGCAACAATATTCAAAAGCCTCATGATTTTTCCAAGTTGTTTGTGATTTTGTTTTTTCAATATCTTATATCTATCTGCAGAAAAAAAGCTGTTGTTGAGGGGGTGAATCAAAACAAGCCATATCTTGATTTTTAGTTGTTTTAACTTATTTGAATGCTTGTTTTGTCTTATTTTAAGTAGCGGGTCCCCTTACCCTGGTTGAGAACCACTGCACAAAACAGAATAAAAAGTTTATAAAAACTAACAAAAATATTGTATGCATTGTACAAGACTAATGTTTTCTTCTCACTATGTATTTTTTCTTTACCACAGACTCTCTCTGTGAAACGCAGGCTCAGCTCTTAAAAAAAAGGAAACTCACATACTTGAAGCTGGGACCTGTTGTCCACGTTCCCATCACATCAGTGAAGATTGTTGTCAATTTTGACAATTAATTGAAATGTGTGTTTAAAGCCAATACTAGACAGGCCTAGAATAGAATTAACTACATCCAATGTTAAATAACAAATGGGAAATTTCATTTGAACATTTAAAATATCTGGGGCATTTTTGTCACTTTTGTTGTCATTTTGTATACAGAGCTCTACACTGATTTCTACCCCATACCCAAAATAAATGTATAATGATTTTGCTCCATTAAAGTAGGTTTGTTTTTAATATAAAGGCAAGTTCACACCAAGAATAATAACTGTGATTCTGAGAACAGGATGAATTCTGATTAGTTCTGATTCATTGTTTTCATCATTCATCAAGTGTGAAAGTAATTCCAGTGATATCATTCCTCTGTGCTTTATTATTAAAATCGTGGTGGGGACTCTGATATGCTTTTAAATTTAGAACGATTTTTAAAACTATCTTATATAAAACTATATATTTTTATATAGTTATTGGCCTTCGTGTGAATGGGCCTTAACCTTTGTCATCTGTTTCTGTCAGTTTTCTCCAGAAAAGTCTCCATGAGTTAGACAGGCAAAGAAAGTCTGGGACTTGTGGAAGACAGTAAAACGCTGCAAAGGAAGCCAAAAATATAAGCTGTAATTGGCCTCTAACACAGTCACAGATCCTTTGATTCTAGTTGAGCTGACTTGTTCTGGATGTTTACATTTGAATTCCTGCATCAGTTACAAGGGCCCCCTACTTCCAGATACGATTGATTGCTTGAAAAATACAGATCAGGTCAATGTGTCTGTCGTAATTCAGACACACTTTTTCACTAATGGCCTCTAACTCCATTCCTCATTTCTTTAAGTGAATATGTTTATATAATTATCCAATCGTGTGCCTGACATGTTCCAAATCAGAGTATGATCCTTCATGTAGAACTGTCAAAATCAAGTCAATACTGTATGTTTAGTATGAAATGCCTGTACATTTCTGCCTAAGAGTAAAAAAATGAAAAACATATAATTGCATAGTCACCTTGTGACTTCATACCTCTTATTGTAAACTTTAACTTATATTTTTTATTATAGAAATGTTTTAATAGTTTAGTGAGAGAAATAAAACATTTTATAACATTTGAACCAACATGTTACATCAGGTTGGCATTCAGTTTTTAAAAGAACCTCTTTTTTTCTACATGTGAAGGACATTTTTTAAAATCTTAAAGAAACTTTTTCCACTATAAAAACCTTTTTGCAATGGAAAGGTTCCAGGGATGTTAAAGGTTCTTCATGGAACCATCAATGCCAGTAAAGAACCTATATTTTTAAGATTGTACGGTCACACAAGGAAGTCCACTAAACTGGTTCTTTTTTAAGTACTCGCATAACCCAAGATTAAAATTTCTTGATGGTAAGCATGGACAGATTGTTTCCCAACATCATAAACACAAAGCATGACTCGAAAACTAATATAGCTGCGGTGTACTGTGAATTACACAAAAAATGCTGAAAAAGTTCCAGAATTGCGGTTGTGAAGGAGCGCTCTCTGTTCCACTTACTGTGTCTGAGCATTTTCTCAATTGGTTACACATGTGTCCCTGCTTCTTATTGACAGTCCTCAGATGGCCAACCAAACAAAACATTCCCCCGGGCGGGAAGCCAGCTTGTGGGGCAACTTTTTTTTAACCTCAAAATACCCTTTTTGTGACCAAAGCCTTTAAATACTGGAGTCAGAAGTCCCTCCGCCAGTGTCAGCGCCTCACAACATGTGGACAATCACAAGCACACTCCTGCTTACATGCTGCCTCCGGGCAGCTCTCGTTCAGAGCCAGGATCACGACGACATCAAGACAGGATACAAGAGGAACGTTTGGGAAGACCTGATCGAGTTTCTTACCAAAGGCACCAGAGATGAATGCAGCTTGAGTGTGACAGGACAAGGCGATCTCACTAAGCTCCGCATTACTTGCCTGGGCCTGGAGCGCTCTTACTGGTGCGAGTACCAGGGCAAGCCTCAGGTCTGCCGCTCTTACAACAACAACCCACTGCATTATTTCAGGCAGATCATGTGGGACCTCCGCAAGCTGCCGAATGCTTGCCAGGGCCAGCGCATCCTCAAGCCTCTCATGTGCAGGAGAGCTTCGGATGAGGCCCAGATGGTCTTCACAAGCGCATCCTCTTCAGACACCAAGCCAACGGACAGGCCCTACAGACCAGCCACTGACAGACCCGTGCAGATGAGATCACAACAGAGACGACGAGAGAAGAGGCCAAAGCCTACGAGACCACAAATATTAAGAGCCCAATCAGCCAGAACTGCTCAGGACAAGCCGAATCAACCCAAAGCTGTCAAATCCACCAAACAGAGGAAAATCACTACACCCAAACCAACTATGCCACGACCAACTACTCCGGTACCCACGAGTGAGGCCAAGAAACTTGCCCAGGATTACTGCTGGCGCTCTTTTCAGGGTGTCTGTTCCTTCGTCATTGGGTGGTTCAGAAACTAAGAAAAGGGTAGGATTTTTTTAAATGACCAAATCATATCCACCTTGTTTTTTAACGTAAGAGCGGTTGGCACATTTGTTAACTGAATGTGCAAGTCTGTTATGCTGCTTGATATTGCAGACTGGTATTTTTCATATTATTTTAGTTCATTATCATAATCATAAATATTCACTGGTTTGTATCGCAAATATTTTACTGCACTTTGTTATTCTTCTAGTTTACCTATAGTGGCTAATGAATCAGAAGTCTGGCAAATTCAAAGAAAATAGCATAATTTTCCTCCTTGCAATATAATGTTGAAAATCTGAAGATATAAGTTGTTGCAAATCTGAAACCTGTGCGTCTTCTCTTTATATTACTGTAATCACTCACATTTCCGCAGACAACAAAACCCATTTAAGATAACTCCAAATGTCTTAACAGCATGAAGGTTTTGGACTGACGGGGAGAAATGAAGGTGTTTGTTAAGACTGACAGGACTTTGGGAACACTATTAATATATCCTTATGTATGACAAATAGAGTTACAGACTCTAATGTACATATCAGAATAGACAAGATTATCAATGAATTTAGATAATTCCACATAATGCTGGCATGTATTCTTCTCCAAATGTAAACTATATGATGAGGAACTTCATCTTATCATGTGTACTGAATGCTATATGTGTATTAATCATGCTATCTTATATATTTATGAGTGCTGACCAATTGGGTCAGCATTTCTGAAAGCTGTGGAGCCACAGGTCACTTCAGACTGTAATATATCAATGTGAAAATGTATAATGTACATGAATATGTATTTGTGTCTACTAGCCTACATTTTATAGTTGAGTAGGTAATACTCAAATTTATAAAGAGGTTTTTTTTTCGTTTGTTTGTTTGCCCTGAATAAATTTTGGCTCTCTACCTTTGCTTTTTGTGGGGATGATTTACATGAGTGTGACAGCAGATGGCACTATTGTGTAGCCTACTGTTCTAGAATGCATCAGATTTAGGCTATTAACATACAATTTTATCAAGTGAGAGTGAATAAAAATACATATAGGCCAATAGTTTCAGTTAAAAGATGCGGTGTGTGCTGGCAATTGCAAATAGCTGTGTTTGATTCGTTAATCGTTCTTTTGAGTCGGAGCTTTTCGATCAGTTGAATCGATTAAATTAATTAATCGATCTGAACAATTCTTTGACGAATGGGTCCGAGCTGTTTTCGAGTCAACAACTCAAGATTCGAAACGAGAACCGTACTTTCGAGCGTGTCCGATTCAATTTGAGCTGAGAACACGGTGAGCTGATAGTCAAGGGCGCCGCTATGGTTTCTGGGCCCCCTGAACAGCATATTGACTCAGGCCGCCGTGTTCGGGGGGGGAGGGGGAAATCGCTTTCGGTCCACCTCTCCCTCGCCGGGCCCTAGAATCGTCCTAACCTCTCCCAGCTATTAAACGGTTGCAAATACGAGTTGTCGACTTGGAAGTTACACATGAACCATTCAAATTGTTTATGACTGAGAACTTTGTATATCATTTTGATACCCGAATAACCGAGTATGATGACAATCCAGTTAGCTTGTAGAAGGCTAATCGCCTCGAGCTCGGCAGCCCCATGGCGCCTGCGGCTCAGACTTAGCATCGGCATGAAGTAGGCCTAGGCTATGACCTGAAGCTCGCTCTTGCACATGTTTTCTACTACGGGTCGATTCTTGTTCAGCGTAACTCACCCGGATCTGGCTGTAGAGTCTGGGCCACTGCCAGCAATGGCTCGGCTTTGTTCAGTCATAGATGGCTAAATAACATTTCGCCATTGCTGAGAAGAGGACCGTTTCATTAGTGCATGGTAGGTTATTCATTTTCATTTTTAAATACTGCATTATTAGCTGTTCAGACGTGTTTATTTTGGTCATTGTTGCATTATTGTACGTCTTTACATCGAGAAAGTAGCATTTACCCAACGTCCATCGTCGTACCCCATATCCTTTTCTTTCCGAGTCCGACTGTTCAAAAGAACCGATTCGCGGAAACGAATCTTTGGTCAGGACTTCACATGTATTATAAAGTTATTTACAGTCCTCAAGTTATAACAGTTTGGTAGAACATTCACATGTAAGTTACTATTTGTACTATGCTGATAAGTTATGATCTATAAATAAACCTAGACATGCCATCAAGTCAAAGCTTTGCCATATAATATCCTAGAACTAGACGCGTTCAAGAATGTGAAGTCTGAGGGAGGTGCGTGCGCGAGATGCTCTATAAATGGCACACACGAACTTCAGGTGCAAAACCAAAGATTTCACAGCTCTCGTGTATTGTTATACCAAAAGAGTTCATTTATTTTCAACAAAACCATTTGTGACTACAAATGTCACGTCAAGTTGTTCCTGCAGTTGTTTGAAAATAATTCCGATGAGGACATGAAACGCGTGACAGCCATTGCTCTTGTTCTGATCTTCGCCTGTATCATGCAGCAGCTCGTACAGGTGAACAGCCTGAGAGACAGAGGGAGGAGAGCGCAGGCAGATGGGAAGGGCAAAAGAAGAGGTCAACGGAATGAAAGTGATCTGAGAGGGAGATTCTCACTGAAGGACGGAGCGCGGGGGTGATGCGTTTGTATTGGGAGTCACGTGCAAAAACGGGCCAAAGACTTTCAGCTGCGAATATGTAGCGAAGCCCACAGCATGTGAACAGTACGCATCTAATACCAAAGCCTACTGGAAACAGATCACCCGTTCCCTGAAAAAGCAGAGGAGACTGTGTCGCGACTCTACGGTGATGGTCAAAGCCGGTATGTGCCGGAGCGCGCCCGCGGAAGCGCATTTCAGACTGAAGGACACGTTACCGCCCACCGCGGGGAATACTCACTGTCCTGCCCGGATCGAGAGGCTGAAAGTGGCCGAAGAATACTGCAGCAGAGCCTGGTCTTCACTGTGCGCATTCCTCTTCTTGATGCTTGAGAATGATGAATGCTCATGACTTTGAAAAACTTTTTTTCAAGGCAAATTTCTGAATGAAATTAACTTCTTGCACTCCTATTTTTCCCCCTATTTTGTGATTCATTATTAGCACTTTAAATTAACTTGAATTCCATTACATAAATATGGCCATAATCCCCCCCAAAAAATTTAATTAATCCAAATCTAATGTATTTACTGTGTTTGCATTTTGGTTTGAATGAAGAAAAAAAATCAGTGGTTCTTCTGAAACTGTCCACACAAGAATAGGCTATAAAACCTGAAATCACCTATGGGGTTAAGCGAGGGATGTGTAAATAAGTGTTACTTTCTATAATTTATTTTCCAAAATATTACAATTATACCGACTCTAAGCTTTTGAATGGTATAGTGTATAATGTCACAAAAGCTTTTTATTTCACATAAATACTGATCTATGGATCCTTCTATTCATCAAAGAATCCTGAAAAAATTTACTCAACTTTAAATATTGATAATAATAATAATAATAATAATTAAAAAAAGGTTTCTTGAGCAGCAAATCAGCATATTATAATAATTTCTGAAGGATGTGACACTGAAGACTGGAGTAATGATGCTGAAAATTCAGCTTTGATCACAGCAATCATTTAAAAATATATTCAAATAGAAAGCAGTTTTTTTAAATAGTACAAATATTTCACAACATTACTGCTTTTGCTGTATTTTGGATCAAATAAATGCAGGCTTGGTGAACATAAGAGACTTTTTATAAAACATTAAAAATCTTACTGATCAAAAACTGCTGACTGGTTGGTTATATAGATTACAGAAATTTGATATTGTAATGTTATATATATATACCATTTCTGTCCCCCTCACTTCTGAAATGATGGCTACGCCCCTGGGAGGAGCCAATGGGCTCCACACAAAAAAAATGTCTCAGGATACATAGGCCTACTAAAAATAATCTCTTGAACAAAAATGTGTAAACATTTGTGTGAAATATTACAATTCAATAAAATCCCCACCGTGACAAAAGAAAACCTGTGTTGGCATGTTTGGTGTATAGAGACTTAAAGTTGATGTGTAATAGAGGAAGAATTTATCATATGAAAGTGGTTATTGGTGTTTGTAATCTTACTGAGTGATCTCTTGAATAAAATGCCTTAATTCTTTTTCTTTTGTTTTCTCAATTAGCTCTTATTCTCACCTGAATAGGAATGTTCATGACCGTTTGGAAAGGTTGTTCCAAGCATGGAAACTGGCAATTGTAGAATTTAATACTTTGCTCTTATTATTTTGACCCAGATAGATATCAAACCTAATCCTATTGATGGAGGTATTTAAATATGTGTGTGCGTGAGAGAGAGAGAGAGCGAGAGAGAGAGAAATTTTATGTGCAAAGTATTAAAACATTTTTTAAATGAAATAAGCTAAAACTAACAAATGAACATTTAATAAATATATATACAATTTTGAAATATATATAAAAATAAAATCTAATTCAACTGCATCTCAACATGATAGCTTTATCTCAAGTGAAGAGTGGCTGTTTGGTCTTGCATGTACTGTCAAGTAGAAACACTGAATGACTTTAGTGGTTTAACAGATTAATCACTCCAACAGTGATCCTTGCATTCCATCTGAGGTCATGTGCTTCTTTCCTACTAGTCATTAGAAGATAAATGAACATTTAATAAATATATATACAATTTTGAAATATATATAAAAATAAAATCTAATTCAACTGCATCTCAACATGATAGCTTTATCTCAGGTGAAGAGTGGCTGTTTGGTCTTGCATGTACTGTCAAGTAGAAACACTGAATGACTTTAGTGGTTTAACAGATTAATCACTCCAACAGTGATCCTTGCATTCCATCTGAGGTCATGTGCTTCTTTCCTACTAGTCATTAGAAGAATTCTTGGAAACCATTATTCTGTAAGTTCTGATGGGTGATCAAATGCTGAGGCCACAATACACCACAATTCTTAAAGGGGTCATATGATGCGATTTCAAATTTTCCTTTCTCTTTGGAGTGTTACAAGCTCTTGGTGCATAAAGAAGATCTGTAAAGTTGCAAAGACTAAAGTCTCAAATCCAAAGAGATATTCTTTATAAAAGTTGAGTCAGCCACGCCTACTTAAAACGGCTCGTTCTAACACGCCCCCACATATCTACGTCACTATGTGGGAAGATTTGCATAACGCCGCCCATATGTTCACGCAAAGAAAGAAGGCGTAACTTTTATTCTCGCTGTAGTATTGTTGCCGCTGCCGCCATGTCATGAAGACGCTGTGTGTTTCATTGTGAAAGCGAAACTACTTTGTTTGGTCTTCCAAAAGAAGACGATATCCGCTTCGTCATGCCTAGAGCTGATCCGTGCAGGTCGCTGAGGGAATACATCAACTTAGTGCTGTGGATCGCCGGATCGGCTTTCACCGTGGACGAAGCCCGGGGTCGTCACATGTGGTTGCCGCTCCTTCGTCGAATCCGCCAGGCACGCCGTTCTCGACACCGCCGCCTTTGCTCATTCTAGCCCGGCCTCAGCTCACGCTAAGCCGTGGCTTTCGCTCACGCTAGGCCGCAGTGTTTTTCGTTGTGAAAGCGAAACTACTTAGTTTGGTCTTCCAAAAGAGGACACGACTACAAATCAGTGGTTAAGTTGTATTTACAACACTGTTCCAGAACAGTTTAACCCAAATCCAGATGTGTGCAGCACATTTTATGGAGGACCGTTTCCTGATCCTGGGAGAGTAGACTACAATGCCGGCAGTTCTGACTCACAGACTGTAAGTACGTTTTCATTTAAAGGATTTGCCACTGATGATTCAAACGCGAGTTTTAAGCAGTGTAGAGTAGCGCTTGTTGTTTGTCATTTCTCCGATCACAAATGCAGACAGGGTTTTATGTTTAAATGACAGTATCAATTTATGTAAAAAGACAGTAAGTCATTATAATCAGTAATTATGTCCCCACTGGATGCAACAAATGCCTCGTTTGTAATGGGTTTTAATGTTTTTGTCTTGTTGCTCCGGCCGGGACATGGCATCATCAGTATGGTAAGGGGCGTAACATTTCCGTCACACGCTTGAGGTATTCGGCCAATCACAGCTCACTGGATAGCTGGCCAATCAGAGCACACCTCGCTTTTCAGACCGATGAGCTTTGTAAAAATCGACGCGTTTCAAAAAGGCGGGGCATAGAGGAGAAACAATAATGTACAGTATGTGGAAAATAATGTGTTTTTTAAACTTTAAACTGCATAAACACATTTCATTACACCAAATACACAAAATAATGTTATTTTTAGCAGCATCATATGACCCCTTTAAGCCAATGAGCCTATGTTAACTTAATGTTTAGAGCTGGAGAGATGTCAAGATAACATGATAATTAAAAGCCTAAATTAGGCTTAATTTTATCATTAGCTATTTTTTATGATTATTTGGCATAATTACTGGTATTGCAATTGGAAATGTTTCATTTTGTTGTTGTATTACAGTTTGCTTTTACAGTTTCTTACGAACAAACCCTCTGAATCACAGAGGTTTGAATATGTTCTATGAAAGCAATAAGTTACTGTTTTGAAGCTTCACATATAAACATATTTCAGGATGCGGCTCTTTCTACATTACAAGCGGTTAGTCATAAACCAAAACATTCAAGCACACAAAACCGATTTTACCATCTTGTGGGTTTTTGGTAGCCATACCAGCCTGTGATTATGAAATTAAACACACTCACACATGTTGTGGCCTCTCCTTTCCAAAAACAACATTCCACCAATTCAAGCACTGCTCTCATGTAACCTCTCAAGGGGATCCTTTACTTCCTGGTGGGTCCTCTAGGGTGGGGTTTCATGAAGGGTTTCTATGTGGACAGAGGTGGCCTGATCTCACACCCTGACATTCTGAACACTGATTGGCTAAAATAATGACCTTAATAAATTCCATCCTGGAAATAGTGGAGACCTCGGTAAAAATTAAGGGCTTTGTGCTGAGAGTGCCAGTGTTTGGGATTTAGTAAAGCGATTTAGAGCTTGTATCCACACACAGAATCCACACATAATAAAAGAATGTGATCTTATAAGAGTCTCAACATCTTTGTAGCTCATACTGAGTTAAGAAATGTAATATTCAGCTGTACACTGTACAAGTAAAACATGTAACAGGCACCTTAACTAATTCCACATCTGTTAATACCTCAAGAATGCAAGTAAAATATCTGAGGCAAACCCTTTGACCCCCACATAATATTTAACAGTAGCATCCAGTGTCCATGATAATGTATGAAGTAAAATATTAGTTTTATTTAAGGTGAAAATTACTTATTAAATTTCCCAAACACTCTCTACAAATTAAGTATTGTGGAAAATTTTAGTTAAATAAAAAAATGTGGATGTCTTGATTTGAAACCGCAGTGACAAATCTGTCATATTGTGTTGAGATTATGAAATAAAATCAAATAAAAGTTACCTGTTTTTTGTTTTCTCATGGAAGGACCATTACTCTTGTTAACTCCCTTGCCTATCTCTTCAGCAGTTTTGAATTTGTGTGAATGAGGCTGTTGTAAGTTTGTTTAACTTAAGAATAAAATATTTTAGAATGTTAATATTTATGCGGGAGGAAACAGTCTCAAGAAAAATTGCTCTTGATGGGTCAAAATAGGAGAATATGGAAGATTTGTTAGAGCAATACTGCCATCTAGTGGAAAATTTATTATTTTGAGCGACAGAAACAAAACAAGGAACTGCATAAAAACTGCATAAAGACTTTACGAAACATTAATATGGTTCGCGTGCACAGACCTCCGGAGGGGCATGCGAGTAGTGGTGTTATGAGGGCAAACTCGCTGGTCCCCCTCGGTATAAATCGCAGTCCAGGGGCACCTAGATCGGACCAAAGGGCACTGGCTCGACCACCCCACCCCCACCCCCCCTCGTACACGCCATTGGTCCATAACATTTTTATTTTCAAAGTCTTCACACAATTTTGAAAGAATGCATCAATCAAAACAATTTATTAACCAGTCTGAAACCACCAAATTCTGTTAAAGAATCAATACACAAACATCACACCAAAATCATTACAGAATACCCTCCTCTATTCTCAAACACTGAAACTACTTATTCTCAAACCATAAAACATAAAAGATGTCGAAATAAACACAAATGAAAAAAAAGTCATATAAGATCATATAAACTGATGTAAATAATTATCACAAAATACTCTTTCTAATCATTACCACCACACAGGTAGAGCAGGGCCTTCTGGTAATCTCCTTCAGAGTCTTCCTAAAAATAGTGGCAAAAACAATGCTAAGATTTATCTGTGTGTGTGTGTGTGTGTGTGTGTGTGTGTGTTTGCATAACTTGCCTGTATGGTGTTATAGAGTGATTCTCCATACTTCTTCTTGTATATTGCTCTGACGTCCAGCATATCTCGTTCACTCCTGGACACCATGATCCTTATGAGAGTCTCATCATCAGTGCCGGCACGCTGTCAATAAACAAACCAATAATGTGTGAAATCAGTTGTTTCATTATCATTCAGACCAACACACTCATTTAATAAACAGGCCATAAATAGTTTTTATTTTTCCACTTGAAGTGTCAGCATTTGATAATACAAAATGAGCAGCAAATGATCCAATTCATGATCGTCAGAGGGGGGGAAAACTGATGAGAATCTCATGGAAATAAGCCTTCTTACCCGCATAGACTCTCGAACAGATTCAGCAAAATAAGCAGCCACACTTTTTGCACATTTAACTAAAAGGGGGAGAGAGAGAAAAATTAGTTTTAAATTTCAGTTAAAAGGATAGTTCACCCACCAGTGTCATTATTTACTCACCCTCATGTTGTTCTTAACCTGTATGCTGTTATTAAAGTTATGCAGCTCGTCATACAACATCAAGTGACCTTAACAAGCCTTTATGTGAGGAACAGACTGAAATTCAGGTTGATTTCACAGATTATCTTCAAAAGTAAAATTGTTACAAAAGTCAAATTTCTGTCCATTCCTCACAGAAAATAGCTTCAGAAAACTTGACAAATTTGTGTGTTTTGCTTCTCTTCTCTTCTCTTCTTTCTTTTGCCCTTTTGTTATTTTTTTTATTGGACCATAGTTGTTTGAAAATGTTCTAAAAATTTCTTCCACAGAAGAATAACAGCACACAGTCCTAGAATGACATGGTGAGTATCACTTTCCTTTGCATTTTCTTGGATCTCGTGATCTTCTTAGTTGACCTTTTTATTCAAGAAATTAAATCTATTTTACCAGACAGAACTTTGGGGGAACTATTGTTTTAAGTTTCATCATAGAGTAATGGTTCAGTCCGACCAAATAGCAAACAAACTCGTACGTTTAGCCACACAGCAGGGATTTTCGTACCCACAGCCAGCAGCAGTGCTTCCAGGTTCCCAGTGCACTCATTTTTAAATTTCAGTTAAAAGGATAGTTCACCCACCAGTGTCATTATTTACTCACCCTCATGTTGTTCTTAACCTGTATGCTGTTATTAAAGTTATGCAGCTCGTCATACAACATCAAGTGACCTTAACAAGCCTTTATGTGAGGAACAGACTGAAATTCAGGTTGATTTCACAGATTATCTTCAAAAGTAAAATTTTGACAAATTTGTGTGTTTTGCTTCTCTTCTCTTCTCTTCTTTCTTTTGCCCTTTTGTTATTTTTTTTATTGGACCATAGTTGTTTGAAAATGTTCTAAAAATTTCTTCCACAGAAGAATAACAGCACACAGTCCTAGAATGACATGGTGAGTATCACTTTCCTTTGCATTTTCTTGGATCTCGTGATCTTCTTAGTTGACCTTTTTATTCAAGAAATTAAATCTATTTTACCAGACAGAACTTTGGGGGAACTATTGTTTTAAGTTTCATCATAGAGTAATGGTTCAGTCCGACCAAATAGCAAACAAACTCGTACGTTTAGCCACACAGCAGGGATTTTCGTACCCACAGCCAGCAGCAGTGCTTCCAGGTTCCCAGTGCACTCATCTTTTATGCTCTCTTCATCGTCATACAACATCAAGTGACCTTAACAAGCCTTTATGTGAGGAACAGACTGAAATTCAGGTTGATTTCACAGATTATCTTCAAAAGTAAAATTTTGACAAATTTGTGTGTTTTGCTTCTCTTCTCTTCTCTTCTTTTTTTTGCCCTTTTGTTATTTTTTTTATTGGACCATAGTTGTTTGAAAATGTTCTAAAAATTTCTTCCACAGAAGAATAACAGCACACAGTCCTAGAATGACATGGTGAGTATCACTTTCCTTTGCATTTTCTTGGATCTCGTGATCTTCTTAGTTGACCTTTTTATTCAAGAAATTAAATCTATTTTACCAGACAGAACTTTGGGGGAACTATTGTTTTAAGTTTCATCATAGAGTAATGGTTCAGTCCGACCAAATAGCAAACAAACTCGTACGTTTAGCCACACAGCAGGGATTTTCGTACCCACAGCCAGCAGCAGTGCTTCCAGGTTCCCAGTGCACTCATCTTTTATGCTCTCTTCAATGTCACAGCCGGCAATCTTTTTGTAGGCATCAAACACTGAAACAGGTACACCAAAGCCATTAGGATGGCCCTTCAAGGCAGTCTGAATGCATCAAAAGGCGTTGAACACACAAATATGCACCTTTTCTCAGGTGTTCCGCGCTCCTGTTGCCGAGTATGTTGATGAACTTGTCCTCGTCCGTGCCGAATTTCTCCTCTCCAGCAGCAAACAGCTCCTGAAACACGATCAATGAACAAACACTTCTAAGGTTCGCAACTTAAACCTAAGAATCCAGTTACGTCTTTTCCATGTTTACATCAACATTCATACGCAACACTAATGATTAATCCAAACAACTGGGTACAGTTTATAACAATGGATTCAAAACTCTTTCAGTTTAAGTTGTGAAGCACAAAAGGAGATATTAAGCACAATGCACAAGCATCTGTTGATTATAATAAAAGTGGATTGTGATTTACAATACCAAGCTACTAGAAGGACAAGAAAGCACCATAAAAGCTCAAATGAATCATATTGTTTCAGAAGACTTGTAATAACGTGAATCAGTCATAGACTGCTTTTATGGGGTTTTTGTCTTTTCTGGAGCTTCAGAGTATAACTCACCATCCACTTTGCATGGAAAAAAAAGATGCTTTGGTATTCTACCTAACATCTTTTGTATTTCACAGGAAAAAAGAAGATATTGCAAGGTTGAAACAATAGGAGGGTGAGTAAATGACAAAAATCACACAAAATAAAAATGACATTGTTTCTTTACATATTTACTTTTAACTCAACTTTAAAACTATAATGTTTAAACTGTTCATATCCATTTTTCTTTGTACAACAAAATAAAGAAAGTCATATAATTTTAGAATAAGCAGTAAATTATGACAAATTTTTAGGGTAAACTGTCTCTTTAAGACATTCACAATACTTTATGAGTGTTTAATCATCCAAAAGTCTGACTATGAACTTTACCTTTGCATCTTTCTCCACTTTGCTCTCATCCACTCCCTCCTCCTTGTTTCCCTGAGTACAGGAATAGAAATATAAACCAAGGTCAGAGAAACATCAGCCCTCCTCCATCACCGCATATGCTGAGATGGGGCGTGGAATTTTCCCTAACCTGGTAAACTCCAATATAGAATTACCCACACTTTACCCCTGAGAACCATTTAATCTTCTCAACAACATTAACTCAAGAGCTGTTTTAATTACTTAAGGATGACTTCACTGCTGCTCATGTTATCATTCCAAGAGCAAGCTGCTCTGTTTCATCTCTCTACCTTTTTTTAAGCATCCTCTCCCACCTCTGGCCATTATCAACACAATGACTGAAATCGTATATCACAGTATGAGTAATTTTATATATTGGTAATTTAATAATGATATATATCATGAGAAATTATATATATCATGTTATTTTTGCTGGAAATTATACTAGATTTTAATTTTTTTTACCTGTGCAAGGATCACCAGAAACCTCTGGTAATGTCCTGACGTATCACCCATGATGTCTTTTTCCAGCTTGCTTCCATATTCTAGGTCAAGACACATGAGACGGGATCTATTGACAGTTCACACTTATCTCGACAATTGCTGCTTATTGGTCCCATTGGAATAGTCTAATGGGAAGGGATCAGTTGTAACAGTGATGCCTTGTAGAGATGTGTGCTCCATATGGACTGTTTGTTTGCAATACAAACAGTAAGGCATCTTTGGAGAAGAGAAACCTGAGAACCATTTAATCTTCTCAACAACATTAACTCAAGAGCTGTTTTAATTACTTAAGGATGACTTCACTGCTGCTCATGTTATCATTCCAAGAGCAAGCTGCTCTGTTTCATCTCTCTACCTTTTTTTAAGCATCCTCTCCCACCTCTGGCCATGATCAGCACAATGACTGAAATCGTATATCACAGTATGAGTAATTTTATATATTGGTAATTTAATAATGATATATATCATGAGAAATTATATATATCATGTTATTTTTGCTGGAAATTATACTAGATTTTATTTTTTTTTACCTGTGCAAGGATCACCAGCAACCTCTGGTAATGTCCTGACGTATCACCCATGATGTCTTTTTCCAGCTTGCTTCCATATTCTAGGTCAAGACACATGAGACGGGATCTATTGACAGTTCACACTTATCTCGACAATTGCTGCTTATTGGTCCCATTGGAATAGTCTAATGGGAAGGGATCAGTTGTAACAGTGATGCCTTGTAGAGATGTGTGCTCCATATGGACTGTTTGTTTGCAATACAAACAGTAAGGCATCTTTGGAGAAGAGAAACCCACAGTTTTACAAAAAAAAATTGTCCCTTACCATTTGAAATTAATTATTTTGAGTGTTCAAAGTAAATATAAATGGACATGTTCATGTATCAATCTTACAATAATGGGACATTTTAATTTCAGCCATGCCTGTGCCTGCACATTGAATATTACCTTTCTTGTAAGCTTTGGCAATATCTTTCATCTCATCACATGTCCTGGATGCCAGGATCTCAATTAAAACTTCATCCTCTGTACCCACTCCCTGTAAGAAAATAAAAAATTAAAAGATAACCACTCTGAGATGAGACAGGCTCAAGTTTATCATAATGTAAAAGCATTTTCACAACAATGTGTTTTCTATTCTTTCTTTTTCTAGTTTTTTATTATATCCCATAGAAGATGGAAATGTTTGACATTACCTTGATGGCCTTATGGAGTTCACGTGCATCATATATTGTGGATGGAAACATGAGGGCCACAATGAGATCCTCTAACTTCCCTCCAAGCTCTGACCTTAAGTCTTTCACCAGATCCTGTAGAAAGGGACAAAATAAGCAAATGAGAGAGAGAGAGAGAGAGAGAACATAAGCCAAGAAACAGAAGAAAATATATTGCCCATTAAACTGGAGATGTGAAACTCATTAGCATTTTAACATTGTTTTAGACATTCATGACGGCACTGAATTATATCAACATCAATAAGAGGATGCATGCAAAACAACAGTCCAAATGAATAATCTTGATGTACTGCTATTGATGCACAGCAGTGCTTCCAAGTATTTGAATCGAACAACAATCATGCTTGAATACCTTTTGTCTACATTTTGAACAGCATTTTATTGTGTTATAATTTTCAGAAGAGCATGTACTTACAGTGAAAAGACATTTTTACATAATTTAGATTCAACAAACTGAGTATTCCTGGTCTGACACAAGATAATAATGTAATTTGCTCACCTTGCCAAAAGCCTTTTTATAGGCTGCTTTTATTTCCTGTCTCTGCGCATTACTGCGAGCTGCCAATAACATGAGGATGACATCTTCATCAGTGCCTGAAAATAAAGCATCCACACCAGCTTATAGAAGCGGACGAAAGTAAGCTATAGTGTAAGAGTGAGCTGAAGATGTTTTTCTTTAGGGAGTCCCTTCTAACTGGCCATACGAACAGAAACAGAAAAAACACCGAGATCTTAACAAAAATGGGTGAACTCTCTTAAAGGTCTGATTTGTCAAACTTACCGATCCCTTTCATGGCCTTGCGCAAAACTTCTGCATCATGCTTTGCATTGAAGTTCACAAAGGGTTTCACACTTCCTCGGGTTGCCTGCAGAAAATACAAAATCAGAATCATAATATAATATAATTGAGACTGACATATGGTTCTGTTCTAAAATGCATAATGTGTCAGGTTAACTACAAATATTCTTTGAAGGTTCACCAACATGAACAACATGAACAAAATGATTTTCTGCCCTTACTGGTTATCGGATATGTTCTCACATCAGAAAAGACTTTATGAAGTTTGCAGGGCAAAATATTTTTGATATTGAACCAGAAGCAGAAAATCAAGTTTGGGTATTTGCAGGCTAAATAGGAAAATGCCAAACAGAAATAATTAAGATATATAATTCAAGGCACTAAAAAACATGAAGACATGTGGAGCAGGTGCATTCTGAATGGATTAGCCAGCGCAGGTGTTTGAGAATATGAGAAACATAAACCACATTTATTAAACCTCATGCTTGCAATGGCTTGTGTCTTTCATCATTATCATGTGGAAATATGGAATATATAGTTTAGCACACAGATATGAACCAATAATTGTGGTAACTGTTTGCAATAAATGTGCTCTCAGAAGCAACCATATATTAACAATTCTTGTTTACATTGTAATTGTATCTTTCTGGTAACCCTTTAAAACCTCTGTAAGCACTATATACACACAGTATATAGTATCGCTGTAAATGTTAAATGTTAATCCATACACGACTGATTAAAGATAGACCAAGATTGCAGCTCAGGTTAATGATAGTGCCGTGGTGAAGGATGAGATAAGGTATAGGGTTCGGCTTTAGGGTTCACGTTCAGGTTGAAAGTTAGGGAGCAGTTAACCCCAGGACCTTCGGTCCAATTTAATACCAAAAGCAGTAGCTTTAACCTTTCCTTGCTCTTATGCTGTCTATAATAAAGTGCTACAACAACAACACACATAGGATTGTCTTAGAATCACATCACCTTGTAAAACGGCCCATGTCGTAGCATTAAACTATTAAGAAACAACACACAATATGCCAGCCCAAGCATGGCTAATCCTTGTGGATGAACTACAGTATATGGGTGTTTGCTTGGTGGCAGGTGTGGGATGATAAAGCTACAGTGACCTATTCGGTGGGTTTCCTCAGTCTGATCTGACACAGGTCTCATCTGCTGTAATCCAATCATCCATCACCTTAACCTCCATGACAATGGTCACCATGCCAACATAGACCTGATAACTTATTCTTGTTTATGGGAATTAATGTATGTGGAAAACTGGCCCCTTTATTTATTTATGATTATTACAGTTATAATAGGCTAATACTTGTATTTGTATACTTCTGGTTAAACTATTAGTTAAACTGATAAAAAAAAAACTTCAACCAACATTAATGTTATAAGCTTAGAGTTAAGCCAGCAAAACATGACACAAGACAAAGTCCCAAATTAGCCTAATAAAACTCATCATAAATTAAAATGTTAATATTGATACAAATGGTGATATACATTTTCAAATATTACTTGTGAAATTCTATTTAAAGCATAATCATTATTTGATCACCGTTTAATCGACTGCTTGTGGTGTGCTTACAAATTCCATGTAACAAATGCAAAATAATACAAATGCAGCTCAACTCTTACCATTTGTACAGGTACAGGCAGTACTATGTGAAGTTCTGTGGGGAGGAAAGTACATAAAGTTATCATTATCAGACCAATTCACCAATGATTGAAACTCGTTACGTTGTGATGTGAAATTACAGGTCCTAGAATCGACAATTGTGTAGCTAAATGACTTTAAGTATGTTCATCAATAATTCCTGTCATTTAGGCTACTTATTTAAGCCACGCTGTAACAATACGTTATCTGTTCAGGACAGCGAATATACCTACCTGTTGAAGTATTCAGTCACCTGTGCACGAGAGGTCAGACTTCTGGCGCGTGTCAACAGTCAGCGAGCGAAGTTGATGTAGCGGGATGTAGGACACGCCCTCAAAACCAGCTGTCAATCATCTTGACTGACGTGCAGAACAGAGTCGATAGTTGTCAGTAGCTGGAGGCTTTATATTCGATGTTCGTGTCTAAGGGAATTTATATTTCTCATTTTTTTGTAGACAAAAGAATTTTAATTACTGTTATTCAAAATAAGTAAATTGTTATAGAAATGACCAGGAGATGCGTATTTTTGAAACTCTTTTACAGCAAAACTCCAATCGTCCACAAGTGGCCAGTAAAGGGCTAAATTTGGGCATTTTTTAACCTTAAATATATTTTTTTAAATACTTTTTTTCCCCCTCTAACTATTGAATTTCAACACTAGGTCTATATGCATCACCCGAACAATTGTGTCATTTGCTACATTACAACAATGTAATTTCCATCACATCTCAAATTATGTTTCACAATTGATAACATTCTGTAGTAGAAATTACATTTTAAAGAAAACAAAAATAAAATGACTTCTTTGTCTTGAATAATTTCGTAGCTATCAAAATAGTTATGTAGTAAAACAGTTATACAAAATATATATGTAATAATATAAATATTATTTTTAGCTTTTTGCATACTTTGATAAAATTCTAGCTAGTTTGGTGCAACTGTATATGTTGAATTTTTTTGGTTGCGTGCATACTAAAGGTATTATACATGTTTTCTTTAGATGAAGTTCAGATAATGTTTGCTCAGCTTTGAACATAATCAATAGTTTGAAAATTATTCATTATAGCAACATCAGGCTGTGACAGAAGTAATAACCAGAGCACTGAGAAGCCCTCTCTGAAAACTGATTGATGGGCAATATAGTCGATATATTGCTTGAGCCTTCCTTAAAGAATTATGTTTTTGTCAGTGCCTTTTAATGATATGCTTATTTCATTTATGTGATTTATAACCACTTCAACACAGCAAAATAAACCATATTTTTCTGTGTTATGTAAATAAAGCATACTCATTTCCTGCCAGAGAGAGACAGGAATAATTATATTAATAATTATTAATAAATGACTAATGCATCAGTGCCTGAAGTGCACCTACGTTCACTCATACCATAAGTATCCCTCATCAAATAGAAGAACCCTGCTGTTTGTTTGGTTAAATTGCTCAAGTATGCAGTGTGGTGTGAATTTAATTTTCTCACTTGCCTCATGCACATAAACACACACCCTGTGAATGGTTTAATAAAAGCAACAGAGCTGACTTCATTGGGATTCATTGTTGAAGATGTTTTACTAGCCCACTGATTGTTATAATGCTGATTGAACCATGTGTACACGTATGCAAATTGAAATACATTTTTAGAAACACTTCTTAATAAATGGATCTTTCTTCCATGTGAAAATCAAGGTGTGAGCATTGCTATTAACCTTTTGGTTTTGACATTAGTGCTTTATGGTTTTCATTTTGTTTTTACCTTTATGTAACCTTTAACATTTTTAGAGAAATATTATTTTCTCCGTCTCCAGCATAATTTAGGTTTATTTAACTTCATTCAGTGTGCCAAAGAAAGAACAATAAAGTACTACTGAAAGAAATACAAGAACGCAGGAAAAAAGGATATATAAAAGGCACATTTCTTTTACAGTGTTATCAGCAACACAAACATTATATTTGAACATTAAACAGCATTGAGTGTGGCAGGTCTCCATTGCTAGTTAGCAATTCCAAAAGGAATTCAGAGTTGCGTTATGGAAAATCATCTTTCATTTAAGACATTTTCTCAATATGCAACATAATTGATTCCACTCTTTTATTTATAAATAACCCTCTTCATACCATTGACAAACAGTAGGGAGAAAAATCTATTCTTGCCCTGAAACTAGTTAGCAGAGATATTGACTGATCCTTTAATTAATCTTTTATAAAATGTGCATGTGTGATTTTGTGTGAGTGAATAGTATTGGATTTCTACAAACTAATTTAGGTTGAATTAATGGTATTATAACTCTGTCTAGTAAATAAATTAACTTTGCATGTATCTATTTTTTACAAAGAATTGACGTCAGAGTAACATTTTTATCTTTAAAAGAAAACACACGTTTCTGAAACAGAATAGTGTCTGCTAAAACATATAAAGCATCTGCCATGCTATAGATGAATACATAGTCAGAAAATACATCTCACATTTCCATTGCAAAGCTTTAAAAGTCCTCATTACAGTTTTTCATTTTTTCATCCCTCCAAAGCACAGTGTTTGCTGTCACATCTTTCATTGTCCAGCAGTTTCAGAAGTCAGAGCTGTATGCAAATCCTCCAAAGTCTATTTTTTTTCATCTTTATCCATGATGTTTCTCTCTCAGAACACGATGATGTCTGCAGGATCCCGGATGTGGCTGAAGGGTGCTATTGCCTATAGAGTTCCTGAGCTGTTTAAACAGCATCCACAGAAGAAGTCCCATCAGAAGCAGCAATACTGTGAAGAGCCCCACATACACACTTAAGTTCCAGCCCCATCCCGCTGTAAGAGGCAAAGAGGTGGACGCCACCAGGAACCTCCTCGGGGAGGGCATCAGTTGCAATAAAATTGCATAAAACTACTGTAGTTCTTTGAATCCTCAGATCAAGCAGTGTGATAGTTCAGTTCACATTGGTGTGTAAGATTTATCCACGACAAGTGTCCTTGATGTCCCTCTGTCATTAAATCTTTATTTATTATCCAGAAGGAAGCGTGCTGTCTCTGTGGTGTTGTGCAAAAAGAGAATAACATCTTTATCCATGATGTTTCTCTCTCAGAACACGATGATGTCTGCAGGATCCCAGATGTGGCTGAAGGGTGCTATTGCCTATAGAGTTCCTGAGCTGTTTAAACAGCATCCACAGAAGAAGTCCCATCAGAAGCAGCAATACTGTGAAGAGCCCCACATACACACTTAAGTTCCAGCCCCATCCCGCTGTAAGAGGCAAAGAGGTGGACGCCACCAGGAACCTCCTCGGGGAGGGCATCAGTTGCAATAAAATTGCATAAAACTACTGTAGTTCTTTGAATCCTCAGATCAAGCAGTGTGATAGTTCAGTTCACATTGGTGTGTAAGATTTATCCACGACAAGTGTCCTTGATGTCCCTCTGTCATTAAATCTTTATTTATTATCCAGAAGGAAGCGTGCTGTCTCTGTGGTGTTGTGCAAAAAGAGAATAATGCTTGAAGTCCTCTCTGCAGCTGCGCCCCCTCCTACTGTTGAGTCACATTCACGCCCCTTCATACACTCCTGTGTGTGTGAGACCAAAATGCCCCCCCCCCCAAAAAAAAAACTAAAATCGCTATTAAACATGCTTAATAATGTAATAGTGAAAATCTCTAAATGTAGAAAGGTTTAAGTAAGTTTAGAGATAGAAAATATCATCACAGCTTAGTGTAAAAAACAATAGAAATCAATGTGTGTATGTCTGAAAAAACAACAACAAAAGATCAATATGATGTAACCTTGGTTTCTTAAACCAGCCTTAGATGGTTTGGCTGGTCACCAACCCAGCTTGACCAGTCTGGGATACCAACTACTCATAAAACCAGAAAACAAATGTATTATTTTATGTATGTCTTTTCAGCAGGGCTCTTTCTCCAAGATAGTTTTATTATTATCTGAAGACATACTAAAAGCATTTGTTGACATATGCTTCAAGCGATGCTTGTATGCTTCATATCAGCAAAATAAAACTAAAAACCTGAGTTGGAATAATTAATTAAATAATTATTCGAACACATGTTTTATTTATTTTTAATATTTACATTTATTTAATTCATTGTTTCAATTATTAGGGCACTAGGGAAAAAATAGAAACTGCTGGAAACAGGAAACTGGGGAAATTATTTATTGTTTTTATCAGGTTTTTAGGGCATCAGGGGGAAAAAACTGCTCGAATGCTTTTTGACTTGATTAGAATATCAAATATTTTTCAGTGGTTTGAACTAATCTTATTACGCTTGCTGTTACCATGGTAACCAGAGGTGGTTTGGGAGGCTGACAAACATGGCGCTGCTGAGGCAACGTGTTAGCTGCAAACAAAAACACTTTTGCTGCTGCTGTACCTAGACAGATTTTTTTATGTTTGTCCGCGAAGCATATCGTTTGGATAAATGTGTATGAAAAGGCAGCATAGTTTTTTTTTAATTTATTTTTTTTTTACATAGAAATGCGACTTTGAATTGTCTTGTAAAGCGGACCAACGGACACAGCTAACGTTAGCCACTTCATCTGCAGCAGAATCAGCCGCTAACTAACGTTGACTAATCCGCAGGATAATCCAGCCGGTTGTGACGACTAGTCAGGACCACTGTGTCCATTGGAAGAACTCGAAATACAGATTTCTATTTCAAAGTACCTTCTTGGGGAATTAATTACACAGAACTACTCTGGGGCATCTTCAATATCAACGCTAAACAGAAAACGGTTAAGCTGTCACAATTCAAAGGGATCTGTGGAGTGATTATTCTGACAAACGAAATGGAGTTGAACTTAAATCACGTTGATTATCTCCAGGTAAGGTCTCAACATCTCTATGTATTTGCATATCCGCTGTGATTTACAGTGATGGCATATGTGCACTCGGTCGTTTAAAATGCACACTTGTAAGGCCTGTGACTGAGCCACTTAGGTATTTTATATATTATTAATTATCAGAAAGGAAATTTACTAATGGCCATGTCATCTATGTTGTCTCAGGTTGGAGTGACTTCTCAAAAAACCATGAAACTTCTCCCAACTGTGGGGCGAAAAGCAACTCAAAAGGTATATCTGCATCCCTTATAAAAGAATATTCCAGGTTTAGTGTAAATCAAGCTTGTGAAAATCATCTGTTCACAGAAAATCATTATTACCAATACCATACATCTTATAACACAAATAATATTACTCATTCCTCACAGTGCTGACAGTTATGCAAAAAAAAAAACTACATTACATTATCAGTAATCAGTAAACGCAAGGAATATTCTTTTAACAGAAAGTTCTATCTTAAAACTTGCTGCAAGTATATGAAA